GTGCTGGCTAGCTAGGGCTCCTCTGAATATCAAAGAACTTGATGTTTGAAAGAAGGGAAAAAATCATTTATTCAGGGCCTACTTGGGAGGCAGTGAGTTAAGCATTTTACAAATAGTTATCTCACTTTATCTTCACAACAATCATGGGAAAGTGGGTGCTATTATTATCCCCATTTTATTGTTGAAGAAGCTGAGACAGAAAGGTTAAATGACAACTTTCAGCACACCCTTGGAGAATATTCAATCCTTCTTTGGTCATTCCCTTTAAGGATTTTCCTTTCCAGGTGGTCAAAGGTGAGTGTTTCCTAGTCTGATCATTACCCTAATCACTTCAGGCAAGAGTCCTTCTGAGACAATAAGATACCAGACACTGAGGTCCTTTCTCCAACTAAACTGCCAAGCATTCAAATTCTGCTGCAAGGAACAAACTCTTGATGTTGTTCAAATGCCAAATGTGCACTTGCCAAAAAGACTATTTTTGTGGAGAACTCACACAGGGCAAGCGTTCAAATGGTGGTCAAAAGTGATACAAGGACACTCTCAAGGTCTCTCTTAAGAACTTTGGAATTGGGGTCTCTCTTTCGGATCTGCCATCAACGAGTGGACCCAGTGCCACGATGCAGATTTTTGTGAAGACTTTGACGGGGAAGACCATCACCCTAGAGGCTGAACCGTCCGATACTATTAAAAATGTCAAGGCTAAGATACAAGATAAGGAAGGTATTTCCCCCTGATCAACAAACATTGATTTTTGCAGGCAAGCAACTGGAAGATGGACAAACTTTGTCTGACTACAACATTCAGAAGGAGTCTACCCTTCATCTTGTTCTGAGGCTTCATGGTGGTGCCAAGAAGAGAAAAAGAAGTCTTACACCACTCCCGAAAAGAACAAGCATAAGAGAAAGAAGGTTAAGCTTGCAGTTCTGAAGTACTGTAATGTTGATGAAAGTGGCAAGATTAGCCACCTTTGATGAGAGTGCCCTTCTGATGAATGTGGTGCTCGGGTCTTTACGGCTAGCCATTTTGACAGACATTATTGTGGCAAGTGTTTTCTCACCTACTGCTTCAATAAGCCAAAAGACAAGTAAATGTATATGTGTTAATAAAAAATAATCAACTAAAAAAAAAAAAAGAACTTTGGAATTGATTGTGTGATGTGAGAGACACTGGCACAGGACCGAGTAGCATGGTGTACCCTTATCAGAGAAGGGGATGTGTTCGATGAGCAAAGCAGAATTGAAATAGCTCAAAAGAAATGCCAGATGTGCAAATTTAGAGAATCCACCCTAAATCTTCACATGGACTATTTGTACCTGACCTATGGTAGAGCATTCTGAGCTTGTAGTGGTCTGATCAGCCACAGTGGGACCCAATGAAACTTGACTCTGGCATAGTGGTGTCATTTTGATCCTCTTCCAGAATGACCAACCAGGCTGGTCATTACCCTAATCACTTCAGGGGAGAGTCTTTCAGAGAGCAGTTAGGAAAGAGGATCCTAGGGGTGGACTGGAAGCTAGTTAGGCTTTTCATAAGAACGACTAGAAAGATCACGGTGCAGGACATTTTGGGGGTTGTAATTAAAGAAAAATGGATAATATTTATCTCTCAGATTAGTCCGAAGGCTTCTGAGACTAGGACAATTTTAAATTTTAAAATTAGGATCAAAGAATAAAATCTTTTACTCAGTTTTGAAGAAAACTTGACGCCATGGAATCTGCGGATTCAGATCTTGTATCTGTTTTGTTGGAAAAATTCACTTCTGTCCAAAAGTCATTTCTTTATTGACTCCTTAGCTCGTTTTCCACATAATTGCTCCAAATTTTTCTTTGCCCTTCCCCTTCACCAACTCCACTCCCAAATCCCACTCCCCTCCCTTAAAGCAAATGACCTTGACTCAGTTTCACTGAGGAAAGTGGTATCACCACTTGACAGCTTTTTCATTTCTCCCCCTCCATTCCTTACAATGTCCTAGCATCATCACTTCTCTTTCTGCATTTCCCCAGTCACTGAAGGAAGGATAAATCAATCAACCAATAAGCACTTATTAAGCTCTTTTTATGTGCCAGGCCCTGGACTGCGAGTGTGTATTTGTAGAGAAAAGTAAAACAGCCCCTATCTCAAGTAACTTAAATTCCATTAGGGACATGATGTGTACATCTGTAGGAATATACAGAATATATATTTATTTTGTGGGGAGTGCACTAGCAGCTGAGGCGATCAGGGAGAAAGATACCCATGCCACCGAGGTATGAGAAAAATGCCCACTAAGGTATTCAAGGATACCCATGTCACTGAGGTGTGAGAAGACTAGAGGTGGGGGGATAGGTTATGAAGGGCTTTGTGTGCCAAACAGAGGATTTTGTATTTGATCCTGGAGGTGAGAGGGAGCCACTGGAATTTATTAAGTAGAGGAACAGGGCAGGAGACATGGTTGGACCCTGGAGTGAGTGAGAGTGATCAGTCCTTTCCTTGAATTTGGTACCTCAATGAAAAACAACATACTTTCATAAGATATGGCAAATATCAAAGATTCATGGAAAAATGAGTGAGAATTATATGAACTGATACAGAGTTAAAAAAAAGAAGAAGAAGAAGAATCAGGAAAATAATTCACAATGATGACAATGTAAAGGTTGATATTGAATCATGACTTTACTGGTCCAATAGCGAAGCAGGCTTCCCTCCTCTCTGCAGAGGAGTGGGGGAATGTAGGTTATGTTAGACAAGATCAAAGGGTTGATTTATTTTTCTTAGTTGTATTTCTTTGTTAGGATTGAGGATTTCTTTATTGGAGGATTGTGTTTTAGAGGAGGGAGAGGTCATTTGGAATGTGATGATAATGCAAATAATGCACAAAGGAGTATCAATAAAGTTATAACCTCTGCCCACATGTTTTATCATTTTCCTTTTTGATTTGGGGCAATGATAATTAGGACACACACACACACACACACACACACACACACACACACACACAACCAAAGTGGTTTCTGATGATCCTGGCTCCAGAGACAGTGGTTGTATCTCCCTCGTTCCAGCTGGTCTCAGTGAACACGTAGCTCACAACAGGCATGTAAGTGGGATAGGACAGAGGTGCCCTATATGCCAGGATGTTCAAAGCTGATTTTTTCTCTTCCTTCTAATCATCTTGAGAGGTCAGACCTTCTGGTTGCAATGAGGACAATAAGCATGTGCGGCTAATTCCATTGGATTTGGAATGCCGGGTTCCATGAGGTAAATGGGATAGCCACAGCAAAGTGCGGGCACAGGTGAAAACATTTTTCACAACAACCCTATGATGTGATAATACTACTCCATTTTACGGTTGAGGAAATTGAGAGTGACACAAGTTAAGTGATTTGTCTCAGGTCACACAGCTAGTGTCTGAAGCAGGATTCGAATTCAGCTCTTCCTGACAAAAAGTTCAGCACATTATCGGCTTCAGTAACATACGTACTTCCATGTCCTTGGATCTCTTTAATTCAGTGACACAAGGATCCGTGCTCACAGCAGCCAATTCTTAATTAAGATAAGGTATATCTTTGTTCCACCCCCCCCTTTCCTTTTTTATTCCCTTGGGTGCAAGCTTTCTCTGAGTCTGTGTGGTCCTATGTCAATACAAAGCAGAGGCAGTCATTGGGAAAGACAACTCACATGACAGTTCAGGCTTTGTGCCTAATACCTTAGGTGGCCAACCTTTTAGAATCTTCTCTTTGACTCACTGCTTTTCTGCTTTGGGTTTTCCAGTGGTTAGGAGACAAGGCTGATCTCTGCTTCCAAATCTATGCCTCAGGATCTTTGAACATTACAGTTGACTGAAGGGATGAAAGGGGGATTGCTTTTGGGCACTTATAAATTATTGAGTAGGTAAGTGGCGCCATTGTGCACAGAGTGCTATACGTGGAACCAGGCAGACTCATCTTCCTGAGTTCAAATCTAGCCTCAGACACTTACTAGCTGTGTGACCCTGGGCAAGTCACTTAACCCTGTTTGCCTCAGTTTCCTCATCTGTAAAATGAGCTAGAGAGGGAAATGACAAACTACTCCAGTATCTCTGACAAGAAAACCCCAAATGGGGGCATGAAGAGTCAGACACAACTGAAAAATGACCAAACAAAAAAAAATTTTTATCCATAGCAAACATATAGGCTGTGCCCTTTCTTCTATGATGTTGCAAGTGACCATTGACCTCTGACCTGTAACTTTGTGAGGTAGACAAGATGTGACATAGAGAGGTCCCTTATGAAGTTCAGGAATATAAGCAGGCAAAAGTGATGCAATGGAAATATGTATATATGTGCAATGTAGGTACGTGTATGCTATTTAACTATTTTATCAGGCAGCAAAATGTCACATTATATATGTATACATGAGTATGTACTAGTAGGAACATCATTACTATTATTGAAAGGTGATATGTCCTTGAATTTACATTAGAGATTATATACACCCACACCCACACCCACACACATATATATATGTAATCTGATGTAATTTCAGCTGATATAACAGTCACTAATTTGGTCTATAGTATGCTCCCTAGTATAGCTGAGGAAATTGAGTACTGGTTTGTTTTTTTGTTTGTTTGTTTGTTTGTTTGTTGAGGCAATCAGGGTTAAATGACTTGCCCAGGGTCACACAGCTGGTAAGTGTCATGTGTCTGAGTCCAAGGTCCTCCTGACTCCAAGGCCAGAGCTCTATCTACTGAACCACCTAGCTGCCCCCAAGGCAATTATTCTTTTTTTGTTTTTGTTTTTTGGGAAGGCAATGGGGTTAAGTGACACATAGCTAGTTAAGTGTTGAGTGTCTGAGGCTGGATTTGAACTCAGGTCCTCTTGACTCTAGGGCTGGTGCTCTATCCACTGTGCCACCTAGTTGTCCCGACTGAGGGAATGGAGACTGACACAGATTAGTCTGGGGTACTTCCTAGTCGTTGTCAAAGTGGAATGAGTGGCAATTCTATGTTGGTCATTTTGTTCTATGCAATCCTGATGATCTACATTCTCTAGCCAGTTTCCTTATAGTCCCCTTGACTTCCTTGTTTCTCAGGCAGTAGACGATAGGATTTAACATGGGGGTAACAATACAGAAGAGGACTGAGACCAGGATGTCCACATCTAGGGAGTAGACTGAGCCGGATTGGTTGTAGTTAAAGATAGCAGTTCCAAAGAAGATGACCACCACAGTGAAGTGAGAGGCACAGGTGGAAAAGGCTTTGCCCCGCCCTAGAGCAGACTGGATTTTCAGAATGGCAGAGATAATGAGCATATAGGACACAGCAGTGAAGAGGCAGGGGCTCACACCAATGGTGGCACTGGCCACATAGAGTGCGACCTCATTGACTGAAGTGTCTGAGCAGGAGAGCTTCAGGAGTAGGGGGATGTCACAGAGAAAATGACTGATCTCATTGGAACTACACAGAGTGAGAGTTGCCGTGAGCCCTGTGTGTGTCAGAGAATTCACTAATCCACACAACCAGGACCCAGCTGCTAAGTAGGCGCAGACCCTCTTGCTCATGAGGACTGGATAGCGTAATGGATGGCAAATGGCTATAAACCTGTCATAAGCCATAGTGGCCAACAGGACACCCTCAGTACCAGCACAAGTAACAAGGAAGAAGATCTGGGACAGGCAGCCTTCATAAGTAATGGTCTTCTTCTCTCTGAAAAAGTTCACCAGCAAGATGGGGACAGTGGTGGAGGTGTAGCAGATGTCCAGGAAGGACAAGTTGCTGAGGAAATAATACATAGGAGTATGAAGAACAGGGTTGATTCTGATGGCTGTTAATATGAGGAGGTTCCCCAGAAGAGTTACCAGATATACAACCAAAAATATTAGGAAGAACAATCCCTGTAGTTCTGGATGGTTGGAAAACCCCAGGAAGAGGAATTCAGTAATTGTTTGATTTTTCTGGCTCATATCGAAGAAAGATGAGAGGGAAGTATGTACTGAAAACATAAGGGGAGAATATAATTAAGTAGGAGCAGTGATAGGGGGCATGCACATCAGTATTCTGTTACACACATCTGGAGTTACCAAGGCAGCTTGCCAGGACTTTCTAAACTTCGTTGACTAAGTTGACCAGCTCAGGTGGGCAATTTCCCTGTGGGTTTGAGTGGCCACCAGCACTCCACCCAATTCTTTCAAGAAGTGAAGGCTTGTCTCCCCTTTTTTGAAAGGTTACTGACCTTTACATGAAAATGACCCCAATTCTCCCATTCCTTTCTCACACACAGAACCATACCTGGGAGTTTTTGTATCTGGGGCAAAAATCACAGATGCACATGAGTAGCACAGATCTCTCTATTAGTGAAGTAGGATGCATGGGACGTCTTCCTTCCATGGGGGAAACCAAGGTTCTGGGACTGTGTAGGGAAAGGAAGGAGGGCAGAGTAAAAAAGTAATTCATTCTAGCCTACCATTTGTTACCTTCCTATTTTAAATCATTATTCTTACTAGCTAGCTACTAAGTCTTGCTGTTTCTAAACTGCTGCAGATTGTGCTGTCAGCACCCTTTAAAACTGGCGCCCTGGGACATAGCCATGTCACCCTGCCCTAGTAATAACCCTTCACAGACACACATACTCCCTTCTTTCCCAATATTCCCAGGCTCCTCTGCTGTGGTCAATGTTGTTTTTAGACCAGTTTCTCAAGAAATTTTTGCAGTTTGGTCCTCTGATCAATTTTATTTTCCTTAATGGGATAGTTTCTCAGAATTTCTAAGTTAGAAGTCATTTTAGAATAATCAATCACCTTTGAATTCGTTTCATAGGAACACTACCCCATCAAGGTAAACTGTTCATAGATTAATGCTTATCTCCCATCAAACATTATCTACCTCCTGGGTGGAATAATTAATACAATCATAAACCTTAACATATCCCATTCCTCTTAAGCCAGTCATTCTAACCTTTGGATTCTTCTGTGAGATTTCTGAGTCTTTGCTTAATCTGTTTTGAAACCCCTATAGAAGTCATTCATTCATCTGCTTTTCAGAAGAGATTCCAGTATCCAACACATCTTCCTGTGAGAAAATTTAACCTAATCATTTCCCATTTGATCTAACTATGTCGAGATAACCTTGTTTGGGTAATACATCTCACATTTAGAAGGAATTGTCAGGTGTCTCTTGGCCCGCTATGATTTTTACTTGTAAGCTTGACCCTCTAAGTTAGTTCTTTCAGTCCATTAACCATTGCGACTGTTGTTTTTTACACTCCATCACCCTACTTCCCATCCCGCACCTCCATCAAGAAAGTGACCAACACAATCCACAGTATTCCAGCTGGATTATTGCAGCCGATTTGACATGTTTTCTGTATTTGTTTGACTTTTAAAAATGTGCTCCAATGCTCTCGTCTGATTTCATAGAGAAATAATAGTCAAAGTCATAGTTGATGTTTGGTGAATTAAATAACCTGGAACAGATACCTAATTAACAGGCTTTCTCCATGCAGTATATTACAACAATGAAACGAATTATCTTAGGGACTTTGCTGCCTCACTCAGAAAATATTTTTTCCACTCTAGAACAGGTAGAGTTCTTTGCAAAGTGCTTTGCAAACTTTAAAATGCTGTTATTACTATTATTTAGAGTTTTAAAATGCAATTGGCAATTTCTCCCAAACCTGAAAGGCAGTACAATATAATAAATAGAGCTCAGCACAAACACTGGAAACTGAAAGCTCTTTTGTATTCTCCGCCCTTAAGGAGCCTGCCTACATTGATTATGTGCCCCAAAACTCCATGATGTTGAACTTGCTAAATTGGATTGAAATTAATGGATTCTCTGCTTAGATTTGAATCCAGGGACAACATGCCTTCCCCCCGGATAAGCTCATCACCTGAAATCTCATCTTGGAGACTGATTCGGGGATTTTGAAACTCAACACCTTCCCAGCATCTTCTGTTGTCCCTCCCCTCTGATTGGAAGGGTGGAGGGCAGCAATCAACTCTTTCCAAAGTCTCCCTTTATATAGGGCTCTGAATTATCCAATTAACCTTCATTTCCCAGTAGCTGCTCTGCTTGCGTTCTATTACATGGACATCATTCCCCCATGCCAGGTACCCTCTGGCACCCCTCCCCACACACACCCCTTCACCCCTTTTCACTTTTCTTTTGTTATCTTCACCTCTTTGGATTGTAAACTCTGTGAGGACAGAGATTGCCTTTCTTTTTCTTATTTATATGTCCAGTGCTTTGTACAGTGCCTGGTACACAGTTGATATTTAATAAATGTCTATTGTCTATTGATTATTGAATAAAATCCCTCCCTAAGGAAACGACAAGCTAGGGACTTGTCAGAGGTTGTGTTGTTTGAAATGCCTTTGAATTATGGTATTTCCTTCCTTGGAGTTTGAGCCTGAATTACTACTCAGGGAATGTGTTCTAGGCCCATTTTTTCATACATACAGAGGCATGCACAAACAGAAAATAAACACCACCCCCAAAAAAGGGCAGCTAAGTGGCACTGTGGATAGAGCACTGGGCCTAGAGTCAGGAAGACCAGAGTTCAAATCAGGCCTCAGACACTTACTAGCTGTGTTATGCTAAGCAAATCACTTAACCATGTTTGCCTCAGTTTCATTATCTGTGAAATGATCTGGAGAAGGAAATGGCAAACCACTCTAGTATCTTTGCCAAGAAGACCCCAAATAGGGTCACAAAGAGTCAGACACAACTGAACAACAATGTGGTTGACGTAATTGACTGGTCTACTTTCCTATTGCTTATTACCACACTTCCATGAGTTTGGATGGATATTTTCAGGTCATTGAGGCACATGTGATTTTGTAGACATTGAAGTATGACACCAGTACCAATTTCACTGTCATCATTATTTAAAGAGGAGGAGCAGCATTGCTTAAGCGCATCAATGTATATGCTAGTTTCCTAGGCATTGTTTGAAGATAACTCCATTCACATGTATACTAGCTGTGGTACTTTGGGCAAAGCCCTCCATAACTCAATTTCTTCATTTGCAAAATGGGCATAACCTTACTAACATAAGGGATCAAAATAGAGGCTGTTGTCATACTACTTAACTTACAGGGTTGTTGTGAGTGCTATATAATCAATAACAGGGGGCCATCTCCAATTGTCCTGATCTATATCTTGCCACTGGACCCAGATGGCTCTGGAGGAGAAAGTGAGGCTGGTGACCTTGCACAGCCCTCCTTCACTGTAATCCAATTCACTTGCAGGTCATGGCATCATCTTCCTAATGTCATGGTCCTCTTCAAGAACGAAGGACAAACAACAATAATAACAGCTATAATTAGAGTAACAGTTGACATTTTTATAATGGTTGATGGTTTATAAAGCACTTTACACACTAATTATGCGCCTTCTGGGTCTGTTACAGAATCATAGAATCAGAAGGGATCACAGTAGCCAGTAGTTTGATGTACAGACAAAAAGAATACCTATATTTTCCACTATAGTAGAAAGACCTGCAGTGTCTAGAGTCAAAAGACCCGAGTTCAAATCTCACTTGAACTACTTAGATGTCGGTGTACTTACCTATAAAATGAAAGAGAGAAGGTTGAATTGGATGGCCTCTGGAATCTCTTCTGGCTTTAAATCTATGATCCTTCATCTGAAATATTCTCATCAAGCCTCTGCTTGAAGAAATCCAGTGAGGAGAAACCACCTACCCTCCAGAGAATGGAAATTTTCCTTTTGGTTGTATCTAATTGTTGGTAAGTTTTTCCTCACATCAAGTCTAAATTTGCCTGTTTGCAAATTCCTCCTTCTTTTTTCATAATTCATAGTTCTGCCTTCTGGGGCCAAACAAAATAATTTTAATCATTTTTTCAAGTGATGGCCTTGCAAATCCTTGAAGACAGCTTCTCTTGGTAAAGAATTTTGTTCAACTCTATTTAAGTATTTCTGGGCAGCGTCTGATATGTTCATAACTTACATACTTTGAGCCAAAAAATGGGAAGCAAAGATGAAGTGACTTGCCCAGGGCCACTAGGCAGTAAGTAGCAAAGCATCCCAGGCCTTTCATGGTGCCAAGTCCATACTGGCTCTCAAGACTTTTTCTTAAAACAAACAAACAAACAAACAAACAAAACCAAAACTAGAAACTTAGAATTCATTGTACCTATAGACCTATATGTACTCTCATAATCTCTGTTTTGGAGGAATGTTCATTTTCTTCTGCAATCAGGTAGGGATAGATGGAAAAAGAAATAAAAGATGCGTCTTCTTGAGTTGTACCTACTGAGGTACAAAGTCCACCTGGTTGAAATTCAATTTAATAAGATTTTTTTTCTCGGAAGATTTGCTTGGGTTTACTTTAAAAAAAAAATCAAAACCCCAAACACTTAAAGTTAATCAACAATATTGTTGACCTGAATTCAAACCTATGTTTTCCCAGTTGGTTTGAGATCATAAATATTTAGCTGATGCTTTGTTGAATGAGTTGCTGAATGAAACACATGGTTAGCTATACCTCTTGTTCAGTTTTCATTTAAAATTCCAGATCTTGGGGCTTTGAGAAATTTAAGGCATTTCAAATTCTGTTGAACTTCAGAAGTAAAGTTAGCACAGAAATAATTTTAAAAGTAAATGTAAACTGTGGGGAGTCAACAGCCTAAAGGTCTTTAGAAAGACAAGAATAATTTGCATTGCAAAGCAGAAAACATTCTGTTGACTAACCTTAAGGGGTTTCTTTTCTCAAAGGCAACAACAAAATGGGAATAAATCAATGTAATTGGAGTGACTACTAAACCCTTGGAGCATTGATGAGAAAAATCTCTTCCTTTATGATTTCAATAACATTATGCAAAGAATCAAATTTGAACCAGGTTTTTCTTCATGTTTTATTGATTCCTTTTGTTTGGGCAGACTAAATTTTTTAAATTGCGCTTTCATTTTATCTCATCATTGATCTATGCCTTTATCCTTTAGTGAGGCAGACAGAATCCTTTCTATATCTTA